TGAAAAGAAGAACAAATTTTAATAATTATCAAAATGTCCATCAATATCATATTCCCAATTATTATCATTTAGGGAAATAGTCTCATAATCATGAATGAAGTCTTCCATAATAAGACTATAAAGACATCATAAAGGACGTCATCGTTCAAAACGATATAAAGAGAAAAAAGAAGAAAAGAAATCTCATAGAAAAGCAACAAGGTTTGCTAACCTCATTTCCACTGTATGATGTGTTAGTTTGGTTCCAATCCCTTTCTTCAACTGGCACATCTTGAGGAGTAGGTCGAGGATAATAATAAGTCATCATTGACGGGACAAATGGTATAGGATCTTAAATAAATTATCATGTCAGCCCACTAACTATTGATTAATTCATTATCTATGACCACCCATCCATTATTTAATTCAATTTAAGCAAATGTTCAAAATTTCCAAAAATGACCTTCCGGGTCATTACACTAACTCTCCGGTCTGCATAACTCTTCTGTCGACTCTAGGCTATCAACAGTCTATACTGAATCATACGAACTTGTTCCATAACATCTCTAAGCAAGTCTGTATCCAAAGAGTCCATCTCCGCCGAATCAAACCAACCAATCTGAGATCTACACCGTCTACCATACAATGCCTCAAATGGGGCCATTTGAATACTAGAGTGATAACTTTTATTATAGGCAGACTCCGCTAAGGGTAAATGTCGATCCCATCTTGCACCAAAATCGATCACACACGCTCGAAGCATATCTTCCAATACCTGAATGGTCCGCTCAGATTGATCATCTGTCTGAGGGTGAAATGTCGTACTCATATCTAACTGAGTACCCAGACCATGTTGTAATGCCTTCCAGAAGTGAGAAGTAAATAGTGAACCTCGATTACTCCATGTAGTCGCACACTCTGACTAATATATAGCTCAGCTAACTTTTCTGCTGTATACTTCACCCGAACCGGGATGAAGTGGGCAGACTTGGTCAGCCTATCAACAACAATCCAGATAGAGTCATAACAACCCACTGTGGTAGGAAAACCCACAACAAAGTCCATAGTAATCCGCTCCCACTTCCAAGTAGGAATAGGCATCCTCTAAGATACACCCCCGGGCCGCTGGTGCTCACATTTGACCTGCTGGCAAGTCAAACACCTCAAAATAAAGTCTGAAATATCCCTCTTCATCCCACACCACCAATAATGTTGACTCAGATCATGATACATCTTCGCCGCTCCCGGATGGATGGAATACCGAGAACAATGGGCCTCCTCAAGAATCAATCTAATCAAATCGCCTGTCCTGGGCACACAAATTCTGCCTCCGATCCGCAATACACCATCAGAATCAAGGACAGCCTCCTTAGCTTCCCCTCTCAATACTTTGTCTCGAATGAGACATAATTTTTCATCATCAAACTGGTGTGCACGGATTTGCTCGACTAAAGAAGACCGATCCTCAATAAAAGCAATCATCCCATCACTCTCTTCTGAAATCTGCAAGCGGACAAGACTGTTAGCTAGTACCCGCACATCTCTAGCCAATGGTCTCTCCATAATACTAAGCGCTGCAAGACTCCCCATGCTAGGAGTCTTCCTACTCAGAGCATCGGCCACAACATTGGCCTTTCCTGGATGATACACAATGGTCATATCATAGTCCTTCAGCAACTCAAGACATCTCCGTTGCCTCAAGTTCAAATCCCTCTGGCTAAAGATGTACTGAAGACTCTGATGATCAGTGAAGATCTCACAATGCACTCCATACAAATAATGACGCCATAACTTAAGTACAAATACCACAGCCGCTAACTCCAGATCATGAGTAGGGTAGTTCTTTTCATGGGACTTCAATTGCCTAGAAGCATAAGCAATCACTTTCCCCTTCTGCATCAACACACCACCCAAACCAACTCCTGAAGCATCACAATACACAGTAAAGTCTACACCTTCCTCAGGTAGAGTCAACATAGGAGCAGAAGTCAACAAAGTCTTGAGCTTTTGAAAGCTCTCCTCACACTCATCAGACCACTGAAAACCCACATCCTGTCGAGTCAATCTATTCAATGGAGCTGCAATAGTAGAGAAACTCTGAACAAATCGTCGATAATAGCCTGCCAATCCCACAAAACTCCTAATCTCAGTAGGTGAAGTAGGTCGCGTCCAGCCTCTAACTGCCTCAATCTTGGCTGGATCTACTTTAATACCCTCCTTGGACACCATGTGTCCCAAGAATGTCACAGAAGTAAGCC